CAGGAGAGTACACACCTGGATGCAGCGTGCTCCTCCTCAGTCCTTCTCTGCAGAAGATGGACTTTTCTCACTTGGCCATTTGGACTCACCTCTGACTGCAGCTGTCTTACCTGAGGGACTTTGTGTTGTGAATCAGTAGAGGGAGATTCATAGCTACTCCAGCTTTTATCAAAACATCCTTTCTTTTGACTCCCTTGTGTACAAAGCTGCCTGGTCTATATTGGTTTATATGTAACTTTTTGGTGGTGGTGGTGGTTTTTACTGTTTTACTTTGCTTTGCACTGAATTACTGCCTATATGAATGTAACTTTTTATTATATTTATTTGAGTATAGCACACGAAGAAGAAAATAATTTGTTTTCTTTTTAAGATTGTATCCATCTACAAGTTCAGCTTCAGAAAAGTCATTTGTGCCTACTCAGGATCCTGAACGATCGCTGACGGAATACATCCATCGCTTAGAGGTTATCCAGCAAAGACTAGGGGGTGCACACCCAGGTAAGAAGAATTTTGTTACCCCTCACAGCTGCCAGCAGTCTGGGCTGTTTTTTTCAAAGTTCTTCCTACGTATTGCTTATGACACTTAAAGCATGTAAAGAGCATCACTTTAATGAATAATTATAATTGGAGAGGGGGAGAAAAAAATAAGTCAGTCTCTGAAATTAAACTATCTAAAACTAGTCCAAGTGTAGCATTTCTCAAAGTAAGTTCGTAGTGAAATTCTTCAGCAAAAAGGCTGAATAATTTAACGTCATTTCCACACCCTGTTATGAAGTCTAAATGAGCAAGCATTGCAGTTTAAATTGTGTATTGAGTTAATCTGCTTTCGTAACAGCTGAACAGGGTTTTCTCTGCAGCACAAACTATAACACTTAGCTTGTTTATTGCTTTCTTATATTCCATAGCAGATCAAAAAAAAATCTGGAGGCTGGTGAAAACAGCCATCTAGTTCTAAGATTGATCAAAGACCCCGCAAAGAATTGTAGTGGCACTTATCTTTGCTATTTAAAATACTTCCACCTAATTTCTAGACTGAATTTACGCAATCTTCTAGTTACTTACTCCTGTTATATCTTAGTTATATCACAGAAATTCCTTGTCCCAAGGAAGAACTTATAAACTGTCATCATGTCATCCTCAAATCATCGCCTATCAAGATATGATTATACGTGTTTTCCAGTGTTTTGTTATTTTTGAGACTCAAGTCTAAGCCTTCTCCAGTGTATTAGTATCTCTAGATTGTGAAAACAGAGTTGGACCTCCGGCTGCAGCGTCATTTGTGCTGACCAGACACAAAGATAACTTGTTCCTTGTTTGTCCATGTAGCCATTGTGTTGCAGGGGCAGCCTCCTGCTGCAGCCCTTTCCCACCCAGGGCAGCAACACAAATGAAACAGCAGTGTGATATTTACGACATCCATGCACAGGCACACAGAACCTGCTCACACAACCTGTGCCGTGGCTATGCCAGGGGAAGTCGTGCTCTTGCACACCAGTCCCAGCAGGTGACTGGGGGAGAGCACCCATTTAGTTCAAATCACTGATGGGGTGGGATTGTCATGACCACAGTCCACGTCGGGGTGTAACACAGAGCTTCATTGCAGGCCCAGGGAGAAGCCCAAAGCTCCAGAGCTGCCTCCTGTGTGGAGGCTCCAGAGGAGCCTGTGCCAGCTTTTCCTCCAGGGTCTTTGTAGCATTTTGCCCAAAGCTTGCTTCACCCATTGGGTTTATGTTGCTAGTTCCCTGGTCTGAGCTAATAGAGGCCACCGGGTCAGATAGTCATAGAATCAGAGAATGGTTCAGGTTGGAAGGGACCTCAAATAATAATGCTGCCATGGATGTTTTCATCCAACCTTTATCTCTTTTTATCTGCTATTCCTGGTTCCTTCCCCATGTTACTTCTGGCTGCTTCTCCCCACAGTTTACTTTGTCATGCTGCTGTCAGGTCACTATGGTCCCTGATCTCTACGCAAGCACTGGTTACATCCTTCCACTAACCACCACCCTTGTCTCCCCAGAATCTCAGCCAAAAGCTGTAAAGCTGACCAAGTAGATATTTGGTTGTGGCACTATGGGAGGGCCACGTAGATTCCTTTGCACGTTGCACATACACATCTTACATACTTCTTTCACTAAGTGTAACCATTGTCAGCTGCTGTTTCCCAGGCAGAGTTGCCTCCTGTCCTTCACCCTTTGCCCAAAGATGTGTGCCTTTACATTGGTTGTGCTGAGATGAGAAGAATATTTGACCATATGCAGAAAATCTCTGCCAGTCACCAGCACTCTTACTGCTGGCTGTTCCTCCAGTGTTGAACATCAGCGGATCATCTCTGGGGGGATTTTTATGGGAAAAGGAGTGCGGTTTCAATCTAATGCTGATCACAGCATTAAAAAGTGATTCTTCGCCCTGCAGTTGTTACAGATGCTCATTCAAATCACATCTACCACACTGGGTCCTCAGCAGTTCCAGGTTTGAACTCTTAATCTATGCTGTAGAGGTGCTGTATTTTTCTCAGTTTCCCACCATTCATAAAAGGCATTATTAATTGTGACTATTGACTTCACTGCTTTTAGAAAAATGCTGATTCTTAAGTTAACTTCTGAGGTAATGTTTTTTTTTATTACATGTTGCATTCCTAACACATTTTTAGTGTAAACTTTGAAAAATTAAACTTGAAAATTACTTGCTTCTCTAGAAAGAGAAGAATCTTCGCTTTGTCAGCATTCGCAGGAGCCTGGTATAGCTGGACAACAGCTATAGGGAATGTCTGAAACATTGCCTGTTTTTCTGGCGCTCTGAGTTGATCAAAGGAAAAAAAAAGAAAAAAAAGAAAGAAAAAAAGAAGGCTAGTTTTGCTTACAAATCCTAGTCTTGCTTACATCACTAAAGTCAACAGCTGCAGTGACACTTCCATCTGAGAACGTTGACATTGTTCTCACCAGGATTTTACCTAGAAACCTCAATACTGTGACTTTCAGGTTTTTGAATTTGTTGGGGTTTTTTTCCCCAAATACTGCAATTGTTTATGGCAAACACAGATAGATAACAAATTTTAGAATTGCAACCTGATAGCATTTCATAGAAATAAGGTATTTTGCTTTATGCTAAGTGTGGAATGAGTATTCCACAGCTGGGACACCATTAATAGCAATTCTGTGGAAAGTGCACGTCCCTTGTAATTTTCATGTTACCAGAACGATGATGTTGGGAATTACAGGACGATGTTGCAACCCTTAGAACAGCGCAGTGGGCAAAATGATTTCCCAATTTCTAATGAACTTTAAAACATCTACTCAGTGACAAGACCTTACCCAGCAGCAGAACACGTATCGAATCATCGCCAAGAGTAGCAGAGTTGAACTAAGCAGCCCTGTTGCTGCCTGTTAAGTAGGCTGGTGATGGAGCGTTGGTCTTAACGCGTGAATGTTCTTCAAATCTTGTTCTGTGTTGTTCCTAGGTGACTCATGAAAATGGTAATTGCTTCCCCTGTAGGTCATATTAAGCACATTGAGGAAATTACATAACGCTAACTGTACCCTGTTGCTTCATCACACCGCAGTTTGCTAATATTCATTTGTTTTATTTAAATTTAGTGCAAGTTCCAGGCCCACCTCGCCAGAGAAACATGAAAAAGTGATGAGAACACTTCTGAAATCTGTACTGTGAAACCCTCCCGAGTTACTGCTTGCTTCTGAGTTGGTCTGTACTGAATGGAGGCACTTGCAATCTCTTCTGCAACTGAATAAAGGGTAGTGCGTTTGCATCAGATTTTTATATGACTTTTTATTATATTTTAGTACTTTAAGAGGAAATTACTTTTGACTGAGCAATATTTTACATTCTCATGTGAAATTACTACTAAGTTAACAGCTGAAGTGTGCCTGCATCACTATTTTAAGTTGCAAAGAGTCTCTTTGGTGTTTATTTTTCTATAGTGTATAGTTGGATTCCTTGTAAAAAAAAAAAGCTATTAAAATGGCATTTTATTAGTGAATTCTGACACTGGTTATTTATTTCCACCTTACCTATGTACTACTTTTGCTGTTCCTAAAATTGTTTGGATTTTAGTATTTCTGTAGGATCGTTCTGACTAATAGAACAGCTAAAATACTCTCCCAAATATCAGATACATGTAGCCTTGTGTGAATTTAGGATTCGCTCTTCTGGTTTTACAATAAAGAAGTCCTTCCCTCAGTCTTTCTCATCACATTCCAATTCAGTGTCAAGCCACCACTCCTTGAGTTCTTCTGTGACTGAGCTACGCACGCATGATGTATTTGGTCTGACTGAAGTCATGCTTTATAACTAATCTCTGCCTCCTCGGGAAGTCAAATACATGTTATATTTTCTCCCAGTGTGACCTTCACTTATTAGATACTTCACTCAGTATCAGAGCTGTCCTTCCAGTTTCCTTTGGTGTTCCTTCTGGAGAGAAGGAAGACAGAGCTTTTGGGGGAAATTGCCACAGTGCTCAAGTAAGGTATTTCCATACAGCACAGGGTGTCTGCCCTTACTGCGCTGTGGGTTTGTTCTGTCTGGCGTGTCCCCTCCCCAGAGCTTCAAGTAACAGCTTGGCCAGGTATCTTCTCTCACTGCTGCTGGTGTGTTGGGTTGTATTTGCTAATGATATGAATAAAGGTAACAGGTGCTAGTCCGCATACGAGCAAACCCACGCTGGAACTAGTGAGAAGAGAAGGGCACTAATCTTCCCCTGGAAGACTTACACGTAGTTTGGAAAGAGCCGAACTCAGCTGGCTGCACTGTTGCCTCTCCCTCATCAGAGACATCAGACGTCAGAGACAGAAAAGGAGCTGCTTCTGACACTTGGCAAACTGGAGCGTCTGTGTTACAGAAATGCTTACGTGTTTAGGAACTTGAGGAAAAAAACCATTTTTTCCAAAATAGATTTGGATTAGACTGGTGTTTGTAAATGGGAAAATAGAGTCAGTGCAGGAAAGCAGAAATTAAGTTCAGTCTAAAGTGCAAATAGATGGGATAGAGAAATAAGTAAAGCTTATGAGCACTAAATTAGAAGTTTTTAACACAACTTTTGGACTGCTGGTAGTTATCTGTCCTATTTTGTCTGGATCCTTTTAGCTTCATTTTCCTAATTCAAAAGGCTCGTGACTTTTAACTCTATGCATTTTTGGCAAAAACAAATAAACAAATCCCCTAAACTATATCTACCTGCAATATAAGTGAAACTCCTGACTGCAGATCTGCCCAGTATCTCGTGCTGTATGTACCTTTCAGGGAGGCAGAGCCAAATGGGTATTAAGCTGCTGCTCAGACAAGAGGAAAGCAGAGGCATTCTGGTGGTACACCCATTTTCAGTCATAATGTTTTCAGTGCAAAAATGAGAGATTCCAAATATCATGCTGGACAAGACTTCTTTCTGTGATATTTACCTTTGGTATTTCTTGTCATGATATGTCACAGAAGCCAAGTGCT